AAAATCAATACATTCATCGTTTCACTCAGAATCTAAAAAAAGAATACTTGCTTATTTTTTTTTTTGTACATTTTTTTCTATTTTCCCGATATCAGTTATTGCAGTATTTGACGGCTGCGAGATCGCGGTCGATAACTCGTGTGTCATCATTATTATGATTCTATGTTGATAGTTCTTTTATGGTGGGAAAATAGTTAGCTAACCTAATCTATATTTTAAAGCAGTATAATATTATAACACGATCATAATAATCGGCTCGTTTGCCAGTGCTGGTTCGAGACGATTTGGAAGGCTCGTTTTTTACTTTCTTTTCTATATTATACAGTTTCGTTGTAGTTTTTGACACTATCGTATTTATAAAAAATAATTTATCATTAAATATTTGGCGCGTATCGGATTCAAATCTATTTAGGTCAAAAATGTCGAGTAGGTAGCCCAGACTTTTACCTTCGTTTTATATTTTTTAGCCCATTAAACCCAACTTGAGTATAATGATATTATTGTATTGCAAGCAGTTTATAATTTATATCAGTAAAAATTCAGAATGAAACGTTTTAAAATTACTATACAGCTATTATTATGTCAGCACAGCTTTATACGCTATCAGTATATTATTATAATATTAAACTTGGCCGTATATTTTCTACCACGAAAAATTGATGCTCAGTAATAATATATAATAATATTTTACTCTGACTTGATTCACTTCACTCTCGGCGAATAATTATTAAGAGAACGATTAGGTTAGGTTAGGTTACTTTAGGTGGCAAGAATACGATTGAGAACGGTCATTATTGGCGATACCTTTTTTAGACCCTTTTGACTATTACGATTGAGAACGCTCAGTTTTTATTTTTCCGCGCAACGTTGCCAAACTTTGCCATATAAAAATCGGCTATGGCTATAGCCTATATAAATATATATGACTCTTAGCACTGCTCACACACTGTCTATATGGCAGGAATAAACGTCTTTAAAACTCAATACTATTCAACAGGACACTGTTCAAAAGGCATCAAAAGCAGATGAAGAAAAAATTTCAAAAAAATCTTCTGAAGGATTAATAAAATATTTAACACATCTGGGAAATTTATATAGGGGAATGAAATTGTAAATTATTTTTAAATGTTTGTATTATTAGTAGGTACCAATAATACAATTTTTTTTTAAAAACTATGACATTTTTAAAATTTATAATTTTTATTAATTATTTTATTCAATGTTTTATTTCAATTTTATTTTGACTTGAATATAGTTCGGCAACGTTGCACTTAATTTCGTTCTCAATAGTACTGTTTTATAGGGTCAGCGGTTATTTCATTGTTCCATTTGGAGTGATCTCAATCGTACTCTAAAAAAGGTCGAACGTTCTCAATCGTATTACACCCACTTTAGGTTAGGTATACTTTATTAACGACCGCCTAACCGGCCATACCTAATCCAACCAATTATAGACTATATAGGTTACCTCGACATTTTGCGCATTGTTTTTCCATCGATTTCGTATAAATCAGACCAAACCTGCGACGGCAGTCAAGTCAAACCATAGACCTATTAAGAAATAGACTGCGCATTGAGAGAGAAAACCAGTTTGATCGTTGAGTAAGAAAGATAGACTACAACTTACCCCGAATATGGAAGAAAAAGTAGCAATCACTAATTTCTCCAAGGAAATCAATCGTGATAATATAGGTATCATAATTCACAACAATGACAAATTTTGAATTTTTTTATTATATTCAAATATTTGTATGAAATAGGCATAATGATTTTTTTTGTTTTTAGTTATCCATTGTTTCCACAACTTTTATCACTTCATTTTAAGTTTTATAATAGTAAATTATAAAAAAAAAAACCGAAAAAAGTCCGTTGTAAATTAAATAAAAGTCAAACTTTAATTACAAGATCAATGTGCATTAAGTAGGTATAAATTATTAATTAATATACAATGTTTAAAATAAATTATAATTTACAATTCCATATTGCTCATTATAAACATTAGAAATAGATAAATAATATAATATTATGTAGTATTATGACTATCTATGTACTATAATCCTTAATAAGTCTATGACTAGTGTCGCTATTTAAATATAGTTACATTTACACATAATTGAAAAATTATAAAAAAAATTAGTAATTAGGTCCTCGAATGCAGCTACATTTGTTCACCATTTTAATTTATGTTTTATTCTGGTAATTAAATAATAATTAAAAAACAATTGCACCTCAAACGGCTCAAACAAGCTTGCAGGACTTCGAATTTAAAGTTTACAACTTGAAAAGTACCAAATCAAATTATAATTTTTGTTTATCACTCTTATCAGATAATTCTTATCAAACCTTAGAAAAATAAACTATTTTCTTATTTCTTCCACATTCGGGGTAAGTTATAGTCTATCTCTCTCACTCAGTGTTCAAATCGTCAAACCTGTGGGTACTATAGGGAACGCGCAGTCTATTTCTTAATAGGTCTATGAGTCAAACCGACATAAGTATTTTTTGTAGAGTGCGTACGAAACATGCGGGGAGAATAAATATTCGTCGAGTGTGCGCTTTTTTGGTAACCAAGAGTTGGCACGAAACTGTAATACATAATAATAATAATAATAATAATAACAATAACAATAATAATATGATGTGAGGAACCGGTGCAAGCAGTGCAGTGAAACGGGAATTCGAGTCGTCGCCCATTGTCCGGCGGCAATTTCTCATATTATGCTCGGGGTGGACGCTTACCACGGTAGAGACCTAACCTCTCGGCAATCTACCACCGTGCACGCATAACTCTTACGAATTGCGCCCGTCATTGTGATGTAACGATATCATGATTATTATTACTGTCGTTGTTGTTATTATTATACGCCGACGTATACATCTGTGTCATTTACGTCATCTGGTTTGGTAAATAATAATTCGACCCGAAAGCGCGACGGACCCTGAAGCGGCGACGAGGGGTTGGACGAAAAAATCTCAATAACGACGACGAGACGCGAATGAAAAGTTTGCGTTTTTGTCCCGTTGACGTATTATCATTTTTTTTTTTTTCTATATTATTGTTATCGGTCGTCCGGTTTACCCACCCACCGTATTACACCACGAGGTTTTCGCTTTGTTGTCGTGGTTAATACTATTATTATATATTTACACGCGGTCGAGGAGCGGGAGGTGGATCTCGAGAGGATGAGCTTCGATATTTTTCACCCGTGACAGCGCACTAATATTGTTTGTCTTCCGAATATAGACGCGAATTTCGTGGCCTTAATGCAGCACCCGACCGGGAGATATGTATGGGTATAGGTAACCCCCGGATAAAATGCCAGTTCACGAGATTATAATATATTATATTATATCGTTTGGTCTTTGGTTACGACAGTGACAATAATATTAAAGAGGTTCGATTGAAGTAGAAACTATAATATAATATAGCCATATAGCCAGTGGCGTATTTACGGGGGGGGGGGGGTCCATGGGGTCCGGACCCCCCCCCATTGATTCGTGTCTCGTACATGTTAAATGTTATGCAGTTTTTACATGATTAAAAAACAAATTTTATCATACGATTTTAAGGATTTTATGAAAAATTTTCGAAGCTATAGTTATATCAACATTTTCAATAAATATCGTGATTATTTTTATCAGTTGGGTACCGAAAATGGTTGAAAAATACCAAATTCATTTTTTAATTCAAATATTTTGTAGTTTTGTACATTGCCAGTATCTACAATCACTCCAGAGAGATCTTTTTCAACCTTTTTAAGGTTGAAAAGCTATCTAAGATCAACTATGAATGAAGTAGGTACCTAATGTAATTAAGGAAATATTTGTATAAAAGTTATAACATATAACTATATATTCGATTCTGAGGGATCTATTGGTTCTACAATGGTGTTTATTTTTTTTTCCTGTATACAAAATTTCTTCCAGAAGGAGTGCTTAGATTTCAACATGTATAGACATATAGTAACTTATCTTTTAGAAAATTGGATCAAGATAGTACTTTAGAGAGGTCATTTTTCGATTTTCTCAATAGTTATATAATGCCACTGTAAAAACCACCAAAAAATTACGAAAAACCTCTAAAAATGGGATTTTAATTTCTAACACTTTGTCTATCACCATGGAAAAAATAAAAAATAAAAGTATTTCATTATTAATTCAACTTACAGGCTATAATAAATAATAACAATATAAAATATCCAGACTGACAAACCGTCTTCGCTCAGAATCGTTTTTCTTATACAATGATATTATGATATTATATCATTGAGTTCAAGTTTAATACAATCCACTATACATTGACCCACTTGTAACCTACTGTACAGCAGCAGAGTGACATTCACTTACCCGCTTTTTTTTAAATTTGTTTTGTACATATTATTATTTAATAATTAAAAACTCGACAATTTTATATCGTCTTATAAATATGGTATATTTTATTTAATAAAGAGTAAATGGGTGGTGTGAGGGGCTTTGTCCCCCGTGGCTCTGTGTTCTGAAAATTATCTGGACCCTCCCCATGACAAATTCCTAAATACGCCACTGCATATAGAAATATAAAAGAGCAGTGTTTCCCAAAGGGTGTGCCGTGGAAAACTTCAAATTGTTTTATTTTGAAAACCATCTTTATTTCATCAAAATGTTTTGACACTTGCGTGACAGCTTTGGACGTATATTGTTTATAATCAATGGTCTTCGTGATACTCAAGCAATAACATCTAACACGACGTTATAAATATATATCAGTGGTTATTATTAATACGAAATATATACCACACTGATCCTCGCAGCATGTTATTAAATTTTCAATTTTCACCCTAATACCATGTTGTTGGACAGTGTAGTCGCTGATTGCGATGACAAATATTAAATTACATAATGTTACGCCATAATAAGTATATAATATTAAATAATAATCAATACAATAATATTGCATTAAAGTACCTATAGGCTATAGCACTACAAGACGTTATTCGTATAATATGACTTCGACGACTTACCGCGGTCAGCAACGAACGGTTCATAATGTTTTTGCTACTGTCAGGTTTCTCGTCCAGCGGGTAGCACTTTGGGATGACTATATCGATGATACAATTTCGACTACAATATTATCACACGCACTGGTACGAATCGAAGATGACGACGACGACGACGACGACGGTTGAAGTCTCAAATCGATGTATTTAAATTTCTTAGGTACCATGGGATTTTATATAAACTCGGGCGCACAAGCGTTCGTTTACAATATAACCTCATATGACCTTCATACGTGTCGATTTATTAATCGTTACCGCAGTTTACACGCGCACTGCATATTATCTACATAACAATATTATATATGTATTTTTTTCTCCGTTTCGGTGTTTTTCACATAATAATAATATGTAATAATATATTGCTATTATATTATTCGTCTAGCGACTTGGCGGTGGGTTCAATAGGTACGTATGTGGTGTACGAACAAGGCGAGAAGATAAACGCGAAGATGACGGGGGGGGGGGGGGAAGAGAGAACTTCTTCTCGCGGTCTCCTCCTGCTCCCCCTCCCCCCGTCACCATATATACCTGCGTGTGATCCTCAAAACCGACTAAATTCGATTTGTTACAGTCACAGGACCGCCGTCCGTACCGAGACAAAGGAATACACAATATGTACCTCCTCACATTATGTACACACACAGGCTCTCGCGTGCTCATAATATACTAGGTATTATATACCTTGGGTAGGGATGCCACTAAATAATATATATTTATAAGTAATCGCACATGCAGCCGATACGATAGGACGTCACAGGTCCGTGGTAAGATTTTGCTCATCGTGATCTTATAATGACATGTTTCGCGTATTGAACACCAAGTCGACTTTCGGGTTTGGTTTTCATAAAAACGAAAATAAACTAAACATGTTCATATCGAGCATTGAGTTTTATTAAATTTTAATTTTCAATTATTATTTTTATTATTTTTAAAGTAAGTGATTAAAATGTAAGTCGGTGAATGAGTGTAAGAAAATAGTACCTATATGCTATAGATGTCGTTACTTGCAACTCATCGATCGACAGAGAGCGTGTGACATTACCAGCTGTGGAATAAATAATTTTTGACAGTTTACCGTACCCTATAGTTTGTAATATTAAATGCAATAAAATGAGTAACCGTATTCTAAATAATTATATTCGAAACATCAACTGTCGCACATTGTTGCTTCATCAGCCTTCTGTTATAAACTTTTAAGCACACCGTTAGGTCTGTACATTAAAATGAACAAGGTTCAGGGTCCCACACCCCCCTAAAATGTAGCCCTGATTTGTACGACAGGTATTAAAATTATTTACAGTTAATAATAAGATATGGTACATAGTACATACTCACGTCAATATTCTCATTTTTGATTTATGTGATGTGTCTTGTTTGTGTAATTTAATACCTAAGACATTTTACCCGTTTGTTATTCCCATAGAATATATAACTTAAAGATTGACGTTCTTCCAGAATGAGCTGGGACGGGTGTGTAAGCTTTCGTGAATCACATAATTATATTTGTAAATTTTTTTTTTAAATCCCAACAGTAGACAAATTAATTCAATTTTAATCAAGTTTCAATTCAAAAAATTAGAACCAAAAAGTGTATTATTGGAGAGAAATACAAAAAAAAATTCTAGTGATGGATATTCAGATCCGGATAAAAAAAATAAAAACAGAAAACTTACTAAGGTTTACCAACGATTTAGTAACGAATATTTTCAAATTTTATGAGTACCAATATAAGAATTATAATAAAGGCAAAAAATTGAATACAATCACAATTTATTCTGAAAATTTAACTATAAGGGGGTAGACAGCACTGCAATGAAAAAAGTAAAAACGATAAACGTTGTTAAAAATCAACAGAATGATAAAGTATTCTATTACGTCTAATATACTTTTTTCGTAATAATTTCGTGCATAACTGTAAATTATTTGAACGTTATAATAAAAAAATTTATATTATACGCGTTTAACGCGTTTTCATTTAATCACTTCGCCTCCAAAAAAAAAAAACAAAAAAAAAACGGTTAACTTCTATTGTGCCTTTTATAAATTATCCTACTAAACTAAATAACACCGTATATAGTTCACGGTGCCATACACAGTCCGAACGTTTGAAAGAGATAATAAATAATGGATAATTAAAAACAAAAAAAATCCAATGACTATATACAGATATTATACTATTCTGACTCGCGTTACCTGCAGCATAATAATAATATTAAAGGTACGCTTGCGAGTGCAATAATATATTATGTTATTACCGTTCGCTAATTGAATGCGACGATAGGGCGTCTTTCTTATTTCCGTACAAAAACACGCGGTCGGATAAAATTAATGTAAACCGAACACCGCAGCGAGGAACGCTATATCGACTGCCGATTGAAAGAGGAAAAACCCATTTGATAAGAAACCATCTCGGAGCAGTCGGCGGACGAGGGTGCGTGCAGTGGGCAGGGGGTGGCTGAACGGAGAGAAACGCACCGGTCGGGGTGGGTAGCGGTGTTATGGGAGGAGGGTGGGTGAGATAGCTATTAATCAATAGGCGGACGTAGTTTTGAGGGGCCGAGGGGAGGGGGGGGGGTGTAGTTCTCGAATCGGCTGCAGGCGTCTAGCAGCGAGGGCATTATAATGGTCGTAATACGTAAAATTCGAAACCATTTTGATAGACAATTTCTTTTAATCATTTATCTTCTTCAGGTGTGCGCGCTCGTGCTCCGGGTCCGGGTCTCTTCCGTCCGCGGCCCATCGACATTTCTGCAACTACACGACGACGGTGGACGGACGCAAACAGACTATATACAGAGGAGCGGCAAAGACATAGTTCGAATTGATTTAGAGTACGTGTGACCGGCGAGGACGCATATCGTCGTACCCTGCACGTGTGCAGTATAATACGACGTGCATCAATCATCGGGAATAGGACGAGAAAAGAGAAGAGAATATTATAGTGTAAAGGTCGTGCTAGTCACCGATTGTCCATTGGTATAGGAGAGCGCATTCCCACTGCTCGACAATGTCTGTGACTCTATAAACGTAACCGATTCGAATACGCTAAACGCGACGAAAGCGATAGACATTGTTTGAGTACACCTGTAAGGGACATAATATTATGTAAGTACGTATCAATCGCAAAACAAACAGTTTTTATTTTATTTTTTTTGTTTCAAATCCGGGCAAGCCGACGACGACATAACGTGCATTTATTAAAACTCAAGTCATTTTCCGAAGCGATATAAATTCATTTTATCGTTTTTTTTTTTGTTACTGGACAATGCATCGACCATTATATGGCCGTTAACATTTTGTAGGGGGGGGAGGCTAAGGTTGGTCGAGGAACACGTGTATGTGGGGTGAGGATTCGTCACCAAAATCCGAGCGGTCACCCATCCCAGTGAAGGCGGACGATGCTTGACCGCAGCACACATTATAGTGATTAAGGGCTGCAACCACCGGGCCCTCACAACATTATATTGTTCTATATTGTTATTATCAACGCCTCTAAACGTGCACTGTCGCCTACACGGTGTTAATAACACGTATGTAATAATGGTATAATATTGCCACAATCACTGGAAAATAATTGATCAAGTATCTTCTCGGTATCTCAGTATCGGTACCTGCAGTACAACTATGGTGGGAGATTGTAAACTCGGCCCGAGGAAAAAACATTTCCAGAAGGTCGATGGTAAGCTCGGCCCGGGTTTTTTTCAGGTCAAAATTATTTAGATGTAAACTTGGCCCCGATTTTTTTCAGGTGAAAATGATTTAGGTGTAAAAACCATCATTTTTCTTATAATATTTTTGAGAAACATTTAGCATTACCCAGAGGACACCACGAGGAGGTGGTTCTCATTATCCTTCAAAAATTATTTTCATTTTCATATTATTATTCATGGTATGAAATTCGTTATTTAAATGAAAAATGTAATTAAAATGTTATAATATTGATAATAAATGTAATTATATAAATTTATAAGTGTAAAAATGTGTAAAAATATAATAAAAAATATATAAGTCAAATTGTAGTGTATATAATGAGTGAAAAATGATAGTATAATAATATATAAATCTAGTTTTTTAAGTAAAAAGCCATGTATTTTACATATTATTCACTCACTGATATTTCTTTATTTTTATATTTTGTAAGTGTTCTTTTTTTTTTTTAGTTTTTATATTTTGGAATTTAAATGGTCCATCTAGGCTGTTGATTTTGAAATGACGGAATATATATTGGGGTGAGTGGAATTAAAACTTGAATTAAAATGCTCATGAAATGATTCACATGCATTTGTTGTTAAATACGTTTCAACTGATGCACTGGCCCATATTTCAGGAGGAAACATAGAATCTGACACCTGACCAGAGTTTACAATCGATTTATTTTACCACCTGAAATTTCCGGGCTGAGATTACAATCTACCTATTTATATTACCTAAAATTGTCGGGCCGAGTTTACATCTACCTATTTTTATTACCTAAAATTCTCGGGCCGAGTTTACAACAAAAAAGGTAACTTCGGGCCCAGTTAACATTTGCCCACTATGGTAACACCGTACTGCATTAACTTGGATAAAAAACATTCTATTATTATTATTATTATAATATTACATTACACGTGTGCTTGACTAAGCGATTGGGACTGTTCATCGCTTAGACATAATAATAACGCTTATGTACACCCGTGATATTATAATATGTAAATATCCTCAGCATCATATACGTAGTGCTCGAGGCACGAGACCGTTTCGACTCGGAATTGTATGTACTATTATATTATAATAATATAATATACATATACCTACAGGTGAATCGTCGTAGTTTTTTTATTTCATACTTGGATGGGTTCAGGCTCCTGGCTTCGATGGTCGCCATATAGATTCGGATGATGTCGGAGATCTCCAATAATATTATATAATATACTGCTATCGTCTCCGGCCGACTTAAAATCAATTACCGGCTATACAAACATAATATATATTTTTATAATGGATGCGACGAGTATATTATATATTATTATTATTATAATACGACTGCAGCAGTATTATATAGTCGCGCTTACATACCTTTTTTTTTTAACTTTCCTCCCCTTCCCCCTCAAAACTCACCCCCGTGACATACGCTCGCGTGTGTGTGTGCATACGTCTCGTTTCTCCATCTCTCTCAATATTTTTTTTTTTGTCCTGTTTTACATATTATTATGCAAATACAATTCAGCCCGGGCTACTATAGCTTGTGTGTGTGTGCATGCGTAAACCATATAGTAATAATATATATCGGCAGGAATTAGATACGAAATAATATCTTTTCTCGGTTCCACTCGTGCAACCGACTCGAGTGGACGTTTTTGACAATATTCGTGTTCCACGGTAATATTTTAACGCGAAGAGTGGTTGTGTGGAGGTGACTGTCCAACCGCTTTCGGACCCACTCGAGGGTGGTCATGCTTTTACGTGGAGGCAATCGAAATTTGCCCTTTTATGACGGTCCTACGGAGCTCGTTTTTGTGATAAGATGGAGGAGTGGGGCACACGGATATTGCCGGAATTGAAAGAGAATCGTTAAGGTGGGTACTCATCATCCATCCCCATATCACATCTCTTAATTATTATTATGTTTACACGACTAGTTTATGGTTGCTTACAATATTCTAACGTTAATTATAGTAGGTATACCTATCTGATAATAAGTGTTTAGCCTTGCGACCAGCTCAATAGGCTAATCAAGCACCGTATTAAACTATTATAGGTACCTATACTTATTTATTATCGTATAATAGCCATAATAAATTAATATTGATGAAGGAGCCATTGTGCTTTTAGGTACCGAGTATTATTAACTATGTTTTCCATAATTGAGAAAAATAAAAATAAAAATGTTTATCTTTTGTTCCCTAGTGGGTAAATGATATAATATTTTTTTTACTAACACAAAGTTCAGATATTTATTCAAGTCGGGTAAATCTTAAAAGAAAAGGTCTTGATGGCCTATTTTCCGTCATAGCATGTATATAGAGATCGTCTGTCTGACTTTGTCAGTAATAATAATATAAGCCTTCAAATTGTATTTAGAATTTTCATAATATGTCTGATCTGTACTTGATTATGTAATAATTGGTGCCCGTGTCCACACATCAGCGTCCAAATCATATCGATTTATAATCATACAATAAACTCCCAATTATCTAATATCCCAGTTATAAGCTCAACGCATTTAAGAAGCATATGATATTGTTGTGAATTTAAGCCGATTATAACTCTCTTACAATAACGCAGTTCTATAATGCATAAATCAGTGGTTTTCTACCTTTTATTGAATACCTACGGCCTACTTTCCTTCAACAAAAACCATTTTAATTTTTAGGTCATTATTTAGTTAAATAGGTAATTATAAATTAGATAAAAATAAATTGTACATTTTAGTATTGTAGGTGATATTATGTATTTATGCAATTTTAAAAAGCTTTAACCAAGTACTTATTATAATCACCCACTAGCTGACCAAGTATTATATTATATTATATGTTTGAAGTATTTTTTATTAATCATTATAAAGGGCTCCCAATTATTATTAGGTGGGAATCTACTCTCTAAAAACTGCATCAAAATTTTCCTAAAAATCAAATACTATTATCAAGTATGTTCACGATTTCCTGTAAAAAAGGATGGTTCTCATTTTTAAAAAAATTAAGTTATTCCCACAGGGCATTCCTCAAATGTCGGATGTTTTAGAAATATTATGCCCCAGATTCACCCTCAAAATTCCAAAAGTTAGAAATTAAATCAAAACATTATATTGAATAAAAAAACTCACTGGCCACTGAGCTTGCTAATTTTTGAATCACTCTGTATACGCCTGCAGCTATGAGACGTTTCTTTCGATAATGGTCAACGTTTTTGGGAAGTTCCTACCTACTTCTATTTTATAATCTTACGTACGTCATACTCTTGGTGTTTGAAAACCTTTTTTCAATAAATCATATTTCGATATTCTGAAAACTCCGAAAACATAATTTACTTCCGCACTGGATCGAATCCGGTGCAGTGCACGCACATATATATTATTGGGCTAAGCGGAATTGTTTTCGTCTTTTCGATAGAACTGTCTATTATATAAAATACATCACCACGACGAAGGTACTATAGTGCTTCGTCTTATTTACCTACTTGTTCAGAATCGTTCACCCCTCCCATCGCATAATATAGCAAACATCGATAATATTACTCTGGTCTCGATCCGCTTTCCGCGATGCACGTTGGGTTAGGTGGGCTGCAGAGATTCTTCGAAAACCCCTAACTATATCAATAAGTATTTTTTAAACCCTTCACAACAAAAATACCATGCATTCAGCTAATGAAATTCCATCGGATCGTTTAGTATACTGATATTATGACTTACCGTCCGCATGCGTCTCGCAACACCCATCACAACAGTTGTTGTAACATCGGACGATTTCCATCGTTTACGTAATGGTATAAAATATAATATGGAGTAGTTATATATTATTTTATACGATGTACATTGTGTATGTGTAGTCGATTGGCCGATTTCCAACGGAGTATATCGTGCTCACGGTAATTTATGACAGCACTAGCTGAGCCGAGAAACGAATTAGGATTTTTGTAAAATTTCCAATATCTGGATTCGAGTTTCCGGTTGGGGAGGGGGTTGATCCAGATAATGCCGACTTCTGGACACCTATGGGTGTAAGATACAATACAATATTGTATTATATTGTATATAGGTACGTTAATTCTAGTTGTTAATTTATGTGTGCATGATACACCGAAGGTCATCACTTATTATGGTTATTATGTAGAATAGTGTACAACATTCTAGGCTATACTGACGAGTCATGAGAATTGAAAATAGTTAACGATGCATGCGAAAAAGGTATTAGTGCCTAAGCCTTTGGGTGGCGTACGTAACAGATATGTTTCGGTTTCCATACAACACTATAGACAACTATTATAGAACTTTGGAAAATCTATTTTACTGTTTAATTTAAAATATATGACATATTATATTTATTTTTTTTGGAGCATCATACTATGATAATAATATGTTCCAACATAATAATTTACTAACAAAATATTTAAGTAACATTTGTCTTTTTTGCTCTCAAACATTTCAATTGCAGGTAACAATAAGTGGATTGAAGTGGCAAAGGGCGTGCTCTATACCAGGGGTGGCCAACCTTTTTTTATATTGTGCCAAATAATGTATACAAATTTGAGAATGTGCCTTAAAAAATATTTATTTCTTTACAGTTTACAAAGTTAACATAAATATAAATTTTAGATTTTTTTCATAGGTACTATTTTTATTACAGTTCAATTGCAATGTTTTTTTTTAATGATTAGGTATGTTGAATTTGCTTCATGGATATTATCTCTTCATAATTTGGTTTAAGTTTAGTTGAGGATAGAAGCATTAAATTTTTCAAATGATAATTTGTTAGTTTGGTTCTATACTTATTTTTAATGAAAGTCATCCGCGAAAAACTTATAATTGTATTACGTGATAAAGAAATGTCATTTACGTACGTAGAAATTTTTGAATCATTTGCATTTTTTGCAAAAATATCGAAACTTTTTTTAATGATTTCGCCATCAGAATAAGGTTTTCCACACTTGGCTAGCAAAAATGCGATTTCATAAGACGTTAACACCATGTCTTTTTTTTCATTCGATTGATTAGTAAAAATTGATTGCTGAGTTAACAATGAATTTATAGTCTTCTTTTTAATATATTCTGTCCTCTTTACAGAACCCTCGGGGTATTTTTCAATAATATCATTGTGATTATTATAGTGCCGTTGAACATTGCATTTTTTTGGAACTGCAATTACAGAGTTACATACTAAACATGTCGGTCTAGATTTTTTCCCTTCTATACATAAAAATTTTTCTATCCATTCTGTATTAAAAATTCGAGAAGAAATATCATCTTTATAACTTCGTTGTACGCCTAAACCTGAAGTTCCTGGTTTATTAGATGCCATTTAACGATCACACACACACAACGACACAAACTACTCGTTAACGCACGGGCACGGCGATTCTAATGCGACTAACTTTATTGTAGTAATCTAGTACACACGTACCGTAACAATTCTCTTATCGGAATAATAATCGGAAAATTCCACTGTGATAATATAATTTAATTTAATAATACTTATTTTTAAAAATTATATATTATTTTATTTGACTCTAGTGTGCCATTCCATAACAACAAATGTGCCACAAATGGCACGCGTGCCGCAGTTTGGCCATCCATGCTCTATACATAGCTACTCCTCGGCCATTACCTAAGCATACGATATTGTTGCAAGAATTACGTGAGTCCGTGATTTGTGTATTGTATGCTTATTATAATAGGGACTTTGTGACAAGGACCTCGTCGAGCCCAACCCTCAATCCTGCAGTACCTACTACTACAGTGGCTCGGGTGGGCCTACCCGCAATCAAAAAATCTTAACAAGCCTCCTAAAACAATACACACTAGCCGTGTACTGTATATCGTCTGTATGACCGTACACACTCAATAGGTCGGGTTATTTTGTCCCAAAATTCTCTCCAGAACTCTTCCTCTCCCCCCGCCCCCCTAACGAGAATTTAGTATATTATCTACTCCACTCCCGGTACGATTATTATATTAAAATATTATGCATTATTTGATATCGTTATAGTGACAATAATAATAATAATAATATGTGGTGTCGGTATCACAATAAAATAATAATAATACGGTAACAGCTACGATAACATTACGTATTCGTTTCGCAGCGATTGGCCTGTGTCCAACCCGGAGTATCATCGTGGGCGCAATAATTCGTGCGTCGCGCCCGCGCTGTGTGTATAGGACGACGATGGCTCTCCTCTTTCGATATATACCGGAAATCCTGTACAACACTATAATACCTACTGTTATTATTATCATTATTACTATTATTGTTGTTGTGTCGTTGTCGTTACCACCCTCCCCCCCCCAATGCCCGTGGGGTGCAGAGGGGGTCTGTCGGTACACCACACACACGCACACCACAAACCACCTATATAGGTACGTATAGCACTGCACGTCTCGGTCGACCCGTGACGTTTCCAGCCCAACAAATCAGGCACCCGGCCAACCAGTGATGTATATAGGTACGTACGTAATATAATATTATTATAATATTATGAGAGATAATGATGATATATATATATATATTGTACGTATAAGCATGTAACGATTTAGCGATCGGTGACCTAGGTATATAAGGGGAGACCCGTCGATGCGTCCTCTATATTATGATTATTATTATACTGTCTGCATCGTCGTATCGTCTCGAGGTGTTCTTATATTATATTATGATATCACACCGCCATATACCCAATAGACTCATAGGCGCAACTAGGGTCGAAAATCTGAGGGGGCTAAAAATATTTACAAGTGTCATGTGTAATCAAAAAATGTTCTACCCCTGAGGATATCCCCATGAGGATATCATTATAATAAATTACATAAGTACAAACTCATAACACATAATATATTAACAGTATCATTATTTTATATTAAAGTAATACGCCTATCCTTTTTTGAAAATTTATCAACAATGAGCTGAGTGTCGATTAAATTAGCAATGTCTCTTTCTATACATAAAATAGATAAATAACTAAATCTTTCTTGTCCCATACATCATAGGCGCAACTAGGGGGGGGGGGGGTGCTTGGGGGTGCTTCAGCACCCCCAAACTTAAATTTAGCACCCCCAGTTCAAAAAGAGCAAAAATTGAAAAATCATATGAAAAAAATAGTTTTTTAGCTTTACTTAATATTTTTTTTTATTTCTTCGTTTTTAGCAGAAACACAAATTATTGTTTGTAATGATTATAGGTATATCAAATATTAGAATTTAGAATTCTTCAAATTTTTTTTTAAATTTTCAGTTAGAAATGTATATAAGTTTTTCCTTTCATAGCTAACATTATAAATGTTGATAGAAGACTCCTCACAATTGGTACTATCTTAAACAAAAAAAAAGTTTACTGGAAAGTAACATACATTTTTTATGAGTGTTTGAATCTAAAATGTGTTCAACATTGAATTTTCAATTTTTATCAGTAAATTAAAGAATTTTCATCTATCAATTTTTGATATTTTGTCGTAATTTAAAAACGAATAATCCTAGATATTTTAAATTTTTATAATAATTTTAATAAGCTTCAAGTAAAATTGTATAAAAACTGGGGGGGCTATGGATAAAACTGGGGGAGCTAAGCCCCCCAAGCCCCCCCTAATTGCGCCTATGCCAATAGTGGATAGTTTCCGACAGTGGAATTGTAACGGTTGTCGAATTTAAAACTCCACCGCGGTGTTGAGTGCACACTCGTTTGTGTCAGAAACATGGTTACGGTTATGTGGTAGGAGCAGACAGCTGCAGTGCTATCGGTGTTTGATATCATGTACTGTTAGCGACGCAGTAGATAAATCTACTCTTCTCTCTCATCGGAGTCATCCGAATCGGTCGCTGCAGGAACGGACACGATATCATCGGCGTGTGTACCACCGTAACGAATTTGTCTTACTCTCGTTCAAGTCTAATCCTCAACGGTCTCATCGTCGATTTTGATTCACTGCGTATTTTCTGCAACTCAACGGCCCTTAAATGTTTTTTGTGTTTATTCACTTAAACTACCAGCTACCACTTCTGAAAATCTACTTTTCTTCGGTTTTATTTATTTATTTTTTTAATGCGCATGGCGTGGTACTTGGTTACATTGTATCGATGTTAGTCGACAAAATAGTATGAAATTATTGTATTGAATAATATATAGGTACACATATATTGGCCCACGAGAGTTCTTTAGTTTTAATTTATCGTTCCAGAATCATAAAAATAAATCCTGAAAAAAAGTTATAAGATATATTTACACGTGGCACAAAATGGTCAAGACTATACATTTTAAAATTTTTTTCGTGCACGTAAACAATTCACGGAAGTTAACTCGAGCCTATAAACATTGTTTCACGAAAATATACAATCGTAATAATGTTATTGTTACGACTATAATAAAGCTTAACGAAAATAAAGTAGTGAGACTAAGAGATTATTATAATTTAGCCTTGAGTACCTATTTTATATTATAATATATATGATTCGTATGCGCCTGTTTGGCGGAATGATGCCAATGTGAATGTTAACTTTTATTTTTTTTTGTTTATTTAACTAATTTTTGGTGTCATTACAGTTTTGGCAGTATTATATTATACAGTAAACTCTCGTTACACTGAAACTTATGTCCATTTGATCCCCTCTCCAAAAAAAAAAGGATTTTTAAAATTTTTAAAAATAGTTTTTATAGCCCCTTCAAGTCCCAGGACAAAAAATATACTTAAACACTTTTGAAAAAATATGTTGTTTGTAAGGTAAAAATTATTATTTTTTTGTTTAATGTTTATGTTTATAAACCGGAAATAAAACGAGTATTTTTTGAATAATTTAACTATTGAGTTCATAAATCATTACACCAATGATAACTGTCCATCATGATATTACGTTAAAAGATTTGGACACCATTATGATAATTTTAAAATGTTGGTTAATGAATTATTATTTTTTATTAGTGAAAACAGTCTGAGTAAAAGAAGTAGGTATCTACTAGATTAAATATTGTTTCAAATATAGGTAGGTATTACATGACTTATCCTCACTAACTGAATGACTGATTCATTATATCTTAGGTGGGACCACTGAAGCTATATATGAGTATGAAATTTGGTCAGTAGTATAGTTTTATGGTGTTAGGACCTATAAAGAAAAGATTTTCCAAAATTCTCATTTTAAAGACGCCCTCAAAAAAATATTTTGAGATTCAAGGTGGAAATTAAATTTTTATTTTTTGGTTTCTAAATGGTTGCCATTTGATACTCTGGGAAGATCAGATAAAACAACGCATCAAATCATTACGTTTACATCTCCACGATTAAAGAAATTATATCTTAAAATCAAAATATGTATTATGTTTGTTTGTATAGTAGGTACCTATGTACTCAAAAACTACCAATTTGATTTTCACGAAAATCTCAGATATATTTTATTTTAAAGATATTAGAACATTTTAGAAAGTAATTTAATAAAATATACCTGGTGCTAAATCTAATACATGACTTGCGGTTATACCCGTTGAAGTCAAATTATTTTACAAATCTAGATAACACTAAAGCCGATTTTCCCGTGAACTGAGGTACACTAAAACCAAGATGCACTCAAAACAAGATACACCTGTAATAATATTATATATGTATATAATATATTGTTATATATTATAACGTTGTATTTTATATGTTTAATTTTTCATGGGCGTTGTCGGGTTTTACAACTATCTAGTATATAACATCAAATGACTCAGAAGGATAAAACCGTCTTATACAAATCCACAGGTTTTGACCGATCTTTCATCAATCGATTCAGCTCGATCCACACGGTGAAGCCGAGTCATTCAACTAGGCAGTTTAATATATAATATTTAATGTAAAACCAATATTAAATATTATGTATCATCTTTAGTGTCCATCTACATAATAGCATTATTATATCATTCCATTTAATAACTTGGAAACAAATAATTCAAATTTCAACTAAGATGGATATAAATTTAAAAACCTTTTTAGAAAAACAAAAAAAAGGTAGTTTTATTTTAAGAAAATAAGATTATACCGTCTTAAATTATGTGATAAGTCAATGTATCTGAAAGTCAATATAATATGGTCTTTAAATATAGGTACTTAAACATCTCAGAATTTAGAAGTTTAATAAATGCATTATTAAAGGATACACGCTATGGGTGAGCATGTTTGGTGAGTACTTAACTTTACTAATACATACAGGTTATTAAATTCTATATACCACAAACTCTATGCATTAAATACAGTTTGTCAACAATAAGTGTACTCCAAGACTTACTTTGCGCATAGAGTAGTTAAATTGTAGGTTTTTTTTTCATTAACCCTCATACTAAAT